GTGCTATCAAGCTATCACCAGCCACTGTGACATGAGTTCGATCCTGGGCCAGGGAGCTAAACCACATGGCACAGCAGACCTCACCTGTCTCGCCCTCTGCTCCCCTCAGCAGTGTATTTCAGTCAGTCTGCCTGTTCTGTTCCCCACTCTGTCTCTGGTGAATCTTCTCACCCCTTACACCTCTGGCCTGTACCCCAGTTCATGTATGCATAAATAAATAATCTTTTTTTTAAAAAAAGAATGCATTCCATCATCACTTACCTGTTGGTATATTCTCCTCTTGGTTAAGTATGTGGCGCTTGTTATTTTTCATGGCATCTTACAACTGATGAAATGCTGTATTATGACTCCACCTTTGTGAACAGAAAATAAATGACACGTACAAGCATGAACATATCATAGTGGATGCATTGAGAAAAGAACAGAAAGAAGAATCTAAAATATCTCTGAAGAGTTAACTTTGGGGAGGAGAATGAGGTGGGAGGGGCACAGCAAAGAGGGCTCTAATGTTATACTTTGTGTGTTTGGAGCTTTTAAAGTAAAAATGAACTACCCTATAAGATTTAAAATATATTATTAAATATTCAGAGATTTTTTAATATATTATCTTATATTATTACTATACTATATATTAAATCATAATATACATTAATCCATAAAGCTACTGAAATTTAATACTGGGGTAATAGCAAAGGAATATGCAGATAGTCCAATGGCACTGAATAGTACCAGAAATAGTTCCAAATAATCCAGAAATAGTTCCAAATGGGAATAGTTGCAAGGTTCAAGTCTAAGAGGGAATTTAGAAAGGCGACCCTACCTATGATTGAGGCGCCAAGTGTGATGCCTGAACCATGATGTGCTGGCGATGGCAAGAATTCTAGTTTCTCCTTGTGGCCTCTGGCCCTCGTTATTCCCTGGGGATCCTGGATTACTAGCGTACAGATGGGCAGGTGGTTTCTCTGGCTGGGTCTTATGATCCTTTGGAAGGTGGTCCTGCTTAGAGGGAAAGTTGTTTTTGGAGGTCATATTTATAGCTTGGCAATGAAGATTGAGTTTCCTATTCCAGTTCCTAAGACAGGAATTAAAAAGGCCACGTCCAGCCCGAAATTTTTTGGTTTTGTTTTGCTTAGGAGAGGTGAACCCATGCTCTGCAGACCACAGTCCAGGTCCTACTTATCTTAGTGATAAATTCTCTCTGCTCACACCGAAGTTCCTCTATACTCACAAAACAATGGAATGACCTCTTCACTAAAGTGTTGACAGAAGAAATCTGTCAGTCCAGAATTCTTTACTGAGTAGAATTTTCAGAAATAAAGGCAAAACTTCTTCAAACAAATAAAAGCCAAGATCATATCACCAGCAGGCCAGTGTTATAAGCAATGTTAAGGATATTCTTCAGGTATAAGGGAAAACCACTAGAAATGGTTAAGTGTAGATTATAATACAGGATTTTTTTTCAATTTCTTAAAAGATAATTGGCAGAACAATAATCACAACAAAGCAATGGAGGGCTTTTAACATCAGCATGGTACATTCGTTACAATTAATGAAATGATATCGATACATTATTATTAACTAAAGTCCATATTTTATTCAAATGTCCTTAGTCTTTATTCAATGTCACTTTTCTGTTCCAGGAGCCTGTCCAGAACACCATGTCCCTTTACGTGCCTCTTGGCTGTTTCTAAGACTTTCTCTGGCAATTTTGAGGAGCACTGGTAGTTTGAAGGATGAGCCTCATCTGGGAATAGGACTGGGAGGAAGATTTAAGACTTGAAGTGCCAATTTCATCACCTATCCATGCAGAGCAGCGATGCGCCTCGTGGCTGTTGATGTGAGCCTTGTTCACTGGCTGAGGTCACGTTGTCAGGTTTCTCACTGGAAAGTGACTCAGGCAATTCATTTTGGAGATAAATTCCGGAGTAATTTAATGGATGAAACACAAAGACTTTTCAATAAATGGCGCCTAAGTAATTGAACACATCTTTAAGTCTGTGAGCCTACCTTGAAAAATACACAGTATTGTAAAGCAATGTTATCTCAAAAAAATTTTTTTTTTAAATTAACAAAGAAAAAATTCTTTCTTACGCAAAAAACCTTGACCTTGACCTTGACCTCCCAGCACACATCAAACTTCACTTGACATGTATCCTCCACCTACAGGTAAAAATTCAAACTATAAAAGTTCTAAAAGAAAACAAAGGAGAACATCTTTATGATGATGAGATCGGCAAAGACTTCCTAGAACACAGACAGCACATGTGAAAAATATTATTAAGAACATAAAAGGCAGACCGGGAGAAAAATTGCTCAACAGGTAATACTGATACAGAACTTTATCCAGAAAAAGGTGAAAATACGCATTAATTAGGCAAACTCAACAACACTGGTTGAATAAAATAAGTTACAAAAATGAAAAACATTAACGTATTGATACATTTCAATTGTCACAGTTCACTGGAGTTGATGTTTTACCAAAATACCAGGTTCGGACATTCATAAGTGTCTCTGGGTAGGCTGGTTCCATAAAGAACCAATTACATTGAAAAGTAGAAAGTGTGACAGAGATACATGCACCAACTATTATTTTGTGGGTTATTCCTGGTCAAGAGTTTGGCTGAGTCACAGCTCCATCACAAGTTGGGAGCAACCCACTGATTACACCCAGGAAATCCCATTCAACACCCGGCCTTGTTTGGCACCTGCGCTAGCAGGCAGCGCCCACCCCCACCCAGCACTTCCACACCACAGGGGCCTATCTGGGCTCTCACAGCCTCTCACAGCCAGGACACAGCACCTAGTCACCCTACACCTGACCCAGGGTTTTCTTTGCAGGCTACTGAGAGAAGACGTGGGCTGTGGGAGGGGCAGTGGCCTCAAGGTTCCAGAGGCAGCAACCACATCAGAGCCCAGCGTGGGCAGAGCCCGCCCTGCCAAACCCAGCGACCACACCTGCCAGGTGACTCTCCCGTCCAGCGCATCTCGCCCTGTAATTGCACTACTCCTTGCTGTCCTTTTAGTGCATTCCTTCTCTGCTTCAGTGAGCCAGAGTTGGTTTCTTTGCTTCCTAGAGAAACCTCCTCCTCAAGGAATTCATACTCTGAACATAATGCTTGTGCGGGCTCCCTGAAACAAGAGGTAACAAGAGAGAGAGTATCACACAGGCGCTAGACTGGGTTGATGAAGCCAGAAGCTCAGAAGCAAGAGGGGTCCTCCGTCATCCAGGGACTTCTGAGAAGAGGCCTGGCACCGGAGAGCGGTCACCTAGTAGGAAGCGTGCGCTGCCCCTTCCCTCAGCCTCGAGGAGACTCGCAGCCTCAAGGAGACCTGTTCCCTGGGGCCCACACCTGGAGCAACAGCCCCACAGAGCATGTTCTCCCCAGATGTGTCTGAAGCTTACAGACCAGTGTGGTAAGAAAGCAGCACAGAACTGAGAGGGAAACCAGCTCACTCAACACATCTGACTGGGGATCCCCAAGACGGCACCAGGGGCTAGATGTCTTGTATGGATCATGCAGTGTAGACACCCCATATCCCGCCGGGGCTCAACAAGCAACAGTGCAACACGGCAGATGAATGAGGTAAGGAAGGGGGCTCTGAGCAGGCTGCAGGCTGCTTCACACAGAACGGGCGGGGGTCTGTGCTGTGGACCACCAGAGGGGATCATAGGGGTCACGGGCACCCCCTACCCTGCCCTGAGCTGCCCCATTAAGTTTCAGTTCTCTGGAGTAAGTGCCCAGGAGCACCACGGATGGCCTGTTGGTAGTTGCATGCTTTTTTTTAAACAGTGTCTTCTAAAACGCACCATTTTACAGCCCGTTTTCTCATCTCCACTAGCATATGACGTCACTTTTCTTTGACCAGTTCTGGTGTGTCGTCACATTCTCCTCAGTAGTTTAGTTTTTCTAATGAAAAGTGAAGCTGAACATCTTTTCATATGTTGTTCCTCAGTGAGGCGCTGTGTCCTTTGCCCATTCTCTAGTTGGATTGATTGGGTATTTTCTTACTGCTGTTTTGAGAATTCTTGATAAATTTGAGGTATTAGTTCTTATCAGATATGTGGGTTGCAAATGTTTTCTCCCCAACAGTTTCATCCTCTTAGCAGGGGCTTCCCCATAGCAAATACTTTTAATTTTGATGAAATCCAATTGATTAAATTTTCCATTTATGGATCATGCTTTTGACATTGCGGCTGAAAACATCTTGCTTTTTTTTTTTTTTTTTTTTTTTTTTGGTCAGTGTAGGTCCAGTTTCTCCATCACCATTTGGTGAAAAAAAAAGATCTTTTCTTCATTGAATTGCTTTTGAACCTTTGTCAAAAGTCAATTGTGCATATTTGGTCAGGTCCGTTTCTGGGTTCTCTACCCCGTTCCATTGATCTGTGTGTCTGTCTGCTCAATACCAGTCTTGATTTACTGTAGCTGTTGATGTATTTTGAATATGCATAATTAACTGATTCTTCTACTTCATTCTTTTCAAAATTGTCTTAGCTATTGTAGTTTGCTTTCCCACAGAAACTTTAGAATAATTTTTTCTATAGCTACAAAAAAACCTGGTATTAACATGCAAAACTCAATAGTGGTTTCGTTAAAAACAGTGAGCATGTGTCACACATGTGTGGTTGAAACACACTACTACTTAATAAGCACGACAGAAGAATTTCTGAGGTGTAACCCTAACAGAATGTATAAATGTATAGGTCTTGTGTGCAGAAAATTACAAATGCTGATGAGATAAAATTTAAATGTTCATGGATTGGAACACTCATTACAAAGATGTCAGCTCTTCCTAGATTGATAAATAGGTTCAATGCAATGCCTATAAAAATCTCAGATCTTACTGGGTTCACTTACTAGTTTTGGTAGTTTTTTTTTTTTAAAGATTTATTTATTTATACATACAAGAGCTGGGATACAGGCCAGAGATGCAGGGGGTGAGAGGACTCACCAGAGACAGAGTGGGGAGCAGAACAGGCAGACTGACTGAAATACACTGCTGAGGGGAGCAGCGGGTGAGTCAGGAGAGGTCTGCTGCACCATGTGGATTGCTCCCTGGCTGGCTGGGGATTGAACTCATGCTGCAGAGGCTGTGGATTGCTTCAGAGTACGGTGCTTAACCCCTTGCGCCACCAGGGAGGCCCTTTTTGGTAGTTTTTTAAAATACATTTCTTGGAATTATTTATGTAGGCAATCATGTCATTGGCAAATTGGTGCCATTTTATTTCTTCCTTTCCAATCTATATGTTTTCTTCTCTTGCATTATTTCACTGACTAGAACTTTCAGCACTGTGTCAAATAAAATGTAGTTCTTTTAGGACAGAAAAGATGAGGGGCAAAAGAGTGCTGCCATTTATCAGTCAGATGATAGGGGAGGAAAAGGTTTGAAGGGGGGTTGAGAAAGTTCTAACTTTTGAGATTGCCATCTGTGGGGATTTTGACGAGGCAGAAGAGTCAAGCACAAAGAATCAAGGGTCTGGAGCAGAGGGCAGTAAGATGGAAGACTCCAAACAACTGCTCATTCTCTTCAAGTGCTTCACATAGGAATGTTTTTTTGCCAATCTTCTATCCTCTTCCAACTGCTAGCCTGTGATACTGTAAACTTTAGGTCAGGTAAGAATGAGTCCCTTGGCCTAACTAAACATCTCTGGAACTCATATCAGCAACATCAGAAAAACAATATTAATTTGTTCATGCTATTAACAAGCCATCACCATAGAATCACCTTACCCTCTTAATCCTCAGATTGACCCTATGTTACAGAGGAGGAAGTTAGGGGGGGATAGCTTCCCTTAATTCTTCAATAGGCAATAACAAGGTCTCTAATTTCCCATTTTTGTCTCTTTTAAGCATCCTGGTTCTCATAATCCCCTAGTACCCTCCTTTTCTCCATCCTGTCTTTCTAGAAATGACAAAAGTATGGGGACTATTCTTCCCAGGTCCTATTGGAAAACCCACTTCCCATTTTAATGGCCACAAAGCAACAAGGAAAATGTTGATCTCAAATTTGCGAATTCTCTAAGTGATTAGGAGCCCTTTCCAGATCCAAGACAAAGAAAAAGAATGAGCACATGATGATTTAATTGGCTTTCTCTTTTAATCAAAAACATACTTTGTTACAGAGTTCTCAGGAAAGGTTCGACTATTTTTAGCCACAGACTTCAAACAGGCAAAAAGTATACAGGAAGACACAAAGGAACTACTGGAGCTTTAGTTGAACAGTTTTCCCAAAAGCAGACACTAAGTATAGCTCTTTTCTGAGTTTTGGCATAGCTGCATTCCTGACTTCAGATGAGACAGAGTTGGGAAATACCACCACCAAATCTGTCCCCAACCTCCAATTACTTCCTCCAAAGGCTCTGCAGCTCACTAGTTTTGCATCATCTACAAGCATTCATACTTCTCCCTTAAATCACATGTCCACAGCATTGGCCAGAACCCAAAACTTGGAGGAAGTTTGCCAACTCCATGTTTAGCCTTTTCACTAATCCAAACTATGAGTCCTTCTATCAGTGACAAGCAGCCATAGCAACAGCAGCTGGTTTCATCCCATCCTCTCCAGCTACCACAGAGCTGGCCTCTACCAGGACTCTGACCCCCCCACCCTCAACCCACCCCTAAGAAGGCTCTCATGGTCCTTGAAATAGCCAAGTTTATGAATTATATTGATCCAAGGACAGACTGGAAGAGAACTCTAAAAGAATGCTCCAGCCAAAAGATTTCTAATCAAAACGGACCAAAAAAGAACCAAGAATAAAGTGAATAATCATTCACTGATAGTTTTCTTGAGTCATAGAAACTATTTTAACTGACATAGTTCAGAGGATTTTCCCTGTTTCAAACATAGAGGAGTTAAGAAACCAAAAGCCAAATTAATGACCTCTAAAATCATTAGGCATTGTTTTATATCCATTTCAGCTGAAAAAAAAAAAAATTACCATCATCACAGTACTTAGGAGGATGGTGTCAAACACTTATCAACCCCAACGGTAGACTGTCATGACTCAAAAAGAGCCTTAATAAACTGTGAACAGAAATAATGGGAAAATAAAATGAAGGCTTCCCCTCTCAGTTTTAAGTATTTATTGCAGCCCCCAAGATGGTGCTAGGCCTTTGGTAAATTTAAGTCTTAAGGAAATATTATGTAACTTCTTGTCCATAGGAGATAATAAAATATCAAGCCTAGTCTCATATGAATAATGAGGAAATAAGTAAAAAGCCCCCTCAAACAGCAGAGCAAAAGGTAAGGAAAAAAATCAAAAACTGCTGCAAGGTAGGCAAGGTCACTTAGAATTTCAGAGTTGGAAGAACTCAGCAAGTCCAACTCCCTCATTTTACAGATGAGGCAACTGAGGCCCAGAGAAAGTAAATGACTTGCCCAAGGTCAAACATCAAACCAGTGGCAGAGCACACATGAGAGAGTGCAAATATCTGGCCCCACCCAGCGTCACTAGTTTCAGGTTAAACAAGAACACTGGTCTGAGACCTACTGACAAAGCATCTTAAATTGTGAAAACTGTCCATACCAATAGGGAAAAATGATTGTCTTCACCAGTTTTCTTCTCAGTCCTTCCTGCATATAAAAAAAAAAGGGAGGAAAGCTTCATTCATTCATTCAATCTGATGTTAAAATCCCTGAAAACATCAGCAATTACTTTTGCTACTCCTTGGGGCAGGATATCAGATCCTCAATTCTCTTAAAGGCACCTAGAGATCAAAAATATCCGTTACAGGAGGAAGGCTCAAAAGGGGACAGCAAAAGCAAGTAAAAATGACCCTCTTATTTCCTAAGGTTTGCTTTTGTTTTCTGTTAATTGTTCATTTGTATTTTTTGCTGGTGTCCTCTAGGCAACAGTAGCGCCATGGCTACTGATACTAATTTAGTAACCCTTGTAACCCCAGTTTTGACAAGCAGCATTCAAGTGGAAGCCACCAAACCTTTCAAAACTCTTTCAAAGGGGGAAAATAGGTATTTGACTCATTTCTCTCTACCTCGACTACCTCACACTCAGCAAAAATCAGGAAGAGCTCAGAGTCAAACCAATGTCAAAAGCCAAAGCACTTAAGTCCTTTTCAACACTTTATAGGAAAATTTCTTGAGTCCTGTCCCAGTTTGTCTTTGTGTTGTAAGGGAAGTTCTAACAAGTTTGTTTATCTGGTTTCCTTGCCCAAGCAGTAAGAAAAAATGAGTCAAAAAGGGGAAAAGAAAAGAGTAAGGGAAGGGGCATTCACAATACACAGGAAGTGGTGGCTTCAGAAGGGGAGGAGACTGGGAGTGTGAAAAAACTGCACATTCAAAGCCACAGAATTTGGGGAGCATTCAGCAAAGGCAAAACAGTCCTGCCTGTTTTGGTGACCCTGAAGTCCACAGAAAAAAACAGGCACAAAAAGAAATGCAATATCTAGTATAATCTCCGATAAACTTACTAGGTAATTTCATTCCCCAAAATCACCAACATAAAAAATGCTACTGCTTAAATAAGGCAAGTTTGGATTATTGGGAGAATCGCACACCACGGTGATCCAAGATAAACCACCTGCAACACTGGGACAAGTGAGTGCTAGGGCCAAGGCTGGGCCCAGGATGCTGCCATAAAAAAGCCTCTAACTTTTTACACCCTTCCTGATTACCTTAGAAGAAAAGAAATTATCTAGTTGTCAGAAAAAAATAAAAAAGGCTTGCACAAAAGATTCTCATAGCTTACTCTCTCTAATCTTGAAAAGGAGGAGTTAGGAGATTATTTACAGATAGCAATCTGCCCACAAGATGAGCTCTGCCTTTAGAAAGAAAATAAAGCATTTCTTTATGCTCCCATCTGCTAATCTTAGCCAAGCCCCACCCATATAGAGTTGTTAACTAACTTTATAGGTAATTATGTTCACATACTCAATTACCATAATGACCTCAAATTCATCTTTTCCAATCTGATTTCACTAAATAAAATGCCAGGAAACTGACTTAATGCTTAAGGGAGCAAACGATCAACAAAAAGGATTCTGCTCTACTCAGAATAAAACTGTTTCTTCAAAAAAGCTCTCAAAAAGGGATCTAAACTAATCTGACTTTACATAAAAACCAGTAACTATTACCAAACAAAGAGTAAAACATATCACCTTATTCTTCTTGAATCTCTACAGTTACTTCAGGAAAATCATGGGGGAAATGTACATTTTTCCTCTCCAGACAGGCATGCTCAAAAAGATAGCTGCAGTAGACTATTTAAAATAAGGAATTTATTATCTGGAAGAAAATGACATTTTATTTTGCCTTCAAAAGTTCTGTAATATATACCTCCCTTTACACCACCTCTCTCCCCACAAAAATGGACTTTTAACTTTGAAATACAACGCAGCAAGTAACCTTGCAGTTTGCCTGGATGTTTCAAGTTACAGCTATTCTTAAGCCAGACCACCCAACTTGTAATGAATCTATAGTGTTCACAAGGGGAATGGGACAGGTGACCTATTTATTGGTTAGATCAATACAAATGAGCCATGCTTCTGGAAAAACAAGGTTATATGGCAGTAATTTATTAATATTTTCTTTGCATACCAGGGGTAGAATATTATAAAAAATGAGATAGACTATATCCCACAAAGAATCTACTCCCTGGAAAATAAAGGCAACACCATTAAGGATCCCCTTTGATAACGCACTGAAAGGCACTGACAGATGTGGGATAGGTCTCATAATGGATGATAAAGGTATGTATTTGGTTCATCTATCAGCTTTCACTAAAGTTCAACATTCTGAGTCTTTGAGATATGAACTAGCTAGAGAAACCCACCCACAATCATATCCTCATAATAATCAGATTCTGAGAACCGCAGATCTATTCTACCTTAAAGTAGCCGTAACACTTTAAACCTAATGACTCTAGCCTTACTCATCAAAGATGACCACTTCTAAGAAACAGAAATACCGTTTAACAACTACGGTCTCAGGAATAACTGATCGTAACATTCTAGATTTTTTTTTTTCCCAAAAACTGGTGACTGAATTTAGATACAAATTACAAAGCAATTAATAAATGGAAGCACTTCCATATATTTATAATACTTTCATGGCTCTTAGCAGAAAGAAACCAAGAGAAGTGGCTTGGCCTCAAAGAGAGACTTCTTAGCAAATATTTTCCACATGCTTAATTAACCCCAGATGACTAAAAATGAAAACCTTCTTTAACACAGCAAAGGAGAAATGGATTATATTATAGCATGCTTATGGATCTAACCAAATAATATGGATTTTAAAAACCTATTCTAACTCTTCCTTCCCACTCTATTCTTCATTCACAGTAAAATGGACCTTAAAAGTATTTCAGTCACTAATTTCTAGAGAATAACTTTTCTTTTAAAATCTGCCAGTAGAACTTAAACCACCAAACGTTTACAGATTAAAATTAGGACTGTAACAAAAGTATTTGTAAGTACTCAAGAAAACAAATGAGTTGGCAGGGAAGTTATTTTAACAACAAAAACAGGTAGTTTGGCTCAATATCTATGTGTTTAAATCATAGCAATAAACAAATTCAGTTGTTTCTAGGATGGTCTAATTAAAACCTTCCAAGCTAGGAAGTAGAAGACTTGTTCATTTAAATTGAATTTATAAGGATATCTATCACACGTTAAGTGTTTCTTATATCATAAACGTATCACATTTTAGAGAACTTTACTATAATCAGAAAAGGCCCTCCAAGCAAAAAGTGTAAGTATCTGAAAGATAACCTTAATTTTACTTCACGCTATCCTGTAGACAACCTGTTTATCTCATAGACAATCAGGACTATTTTTGCCACAGAAAAATAAAAGTCCAAAAAACAACCAACTCTACCCTTGATATGTAATGTCCATGGGAAAGTCCTGGTAGAGTGTGAGGGAAAAACCAAAGCTGCCCACTAGTACCGGCTACTGCCTGTCATTAGTAGAAGGTGTCTTGCCACTGAGGTTGGACTCAAAAGTGCAAATGGAAAAAAAAACTTAAAAATCAAACCTAGAATTCAACTTTGTATGTTGAGATTCGGTTTTATTTATGCTACTAGCTAAGTAAAAAGCATACATATTGTGTCTGTGGTACAGTCAATACATTTGCAACTTTTCTACTTAAATTCTCTATACAAAGTCACTGCCAATTGATATGACCATTGATGGCAAAGGGCTTAGAAAAACCAAAAGGTATAAAAAAGTTTGCAGTCTTGCCCCAAGATACAAAAACTGAATTTTAAACAATATCATAACATACATGATTTAAACAGTATATGAAAAAAAGTCACACATCAAATCAAGTACAAAAATATCCAAACTACCTATTATGAACTGTAATGGTTCCATTATTCTGCACAGTATTTAACATAGAATTTTGCAGTTTCCAAAATACTCATTATTTAGTTTAAGCGTTGCCACCTTTGCAGAACAGTGAGATTAGGTAGAGTGACACTGCTTTTAGTGTTTTTAAAAATACAAAGCCTTTCCTTATGATTTAATGAAGGAAAGAAATTCTTTTCTAGGTTTCTTAGTAACCCAACCTGTGCCTAGAAATAGAGAAGAATACATCTACTGTTTACAGGGCAAAAGTATACTTTCTGAAAGTTACCCAACAGGGATAACAAGTGTAATTTTAAATGATATTTCTTTGTCAGGTAAGTTTAAGGAATTCTCAATATACACAGAGATTAGTGTTTTGCCTTGGCAAAAATGAAGTTGCAAGATAATCTGAATTAAAATCATTTTCACTAGTTAACTTGCAAAAAATATTTTAGATAAAAGGTTATAATACATTACCTATCTTATTTTTTAAACACAGAGTAAAGTTGCTCTTGGGATAATTAACTCACCCACATGGCACAACAGTTTGGAGTAAAGTATGTTCAACAATAACAACTTGCACACAAAATAACATTGGTGAATTAACTTTGAGAACTTCTCTGCCTTTAAAATCAGCAATATTGAATTTTTCTGTAGAATAACACATATATCAATGTTCTGCATATAAAAGGCTCTAGGAGGCTTTAAAGGGTTAAATTTTCCAGCAATGGAATGAATCCTTCATACATAACTGGTGAAGATTTAATAAGAATGTGTTTTTCCTGATCTTCAAGCTCTGAGCCATGCCTGAAAAGTTCTAAATAGGAAAAAAAAAATTTGTTTTAATCCAGTTTCTGTCTGCTAGGAGCAAGGCAGCAAACACATTTTTCAACCCTTTATGAAAAGATAAAGCAGAACAAAAGTGAAATATATCTTCAGATTATAAACAGGATTATATTTTATAGTCCACCATCCTGATAATGTTACGGGGCCCAAGAATAAAAGACCTCAGTCTAAAGGTTGTGGGTCGGCAATAGGCATGGTGTGAAGTACTTCGTCGAGGAGTTGGAGGGCCCGGTGTAAGTGAATCTCAATCCAGCAAGGTGTTTCTTTGATGCTCTGTCTTGGGTAATCTGGTCCCCATCCTTTCACAAAACTCATCCTGAGTATGCATAAGCGACGAAGGTCATCAACACCAATTCCAGCAGCAGCTGACAAACCTAACAGAAAAGATTTGGAAGATGTCAGAGTGACAGGCTGATCTCTTCCCATCCTCCCTACATCTTATTAGTGCCCAGCTTTCTTTATTCATCTCCTCAGCATATAACTTCTCTGTCAAAAGTGCCAAGAAGTAAGTATAGATCTAAATTTTGTCAAAGGGACTTTTGGTTAATACAGTTTATATTCCACACAGGTCTTCTAGCTAGCACCATTAGAGATTACATCCGTACAACCCACCAAAACCCCATCTCTCTTTTCTCTTTAGAAATAGAGGCAATGGGATAAGAAACAACTAGTTTTTAAGTAATGCATGTTCACAGGCTGGTTCTCAGCATTTTACTGTCTGTCTAAACACTCTAGTTCAGAGGAAGACATGACTAATGATGAGATAGCTAAGAGTCCTGATTCCTCTAAGGCTTCTTGGATGACCCAGATGATGTCTGCCTCTCAATTTCACAGTATAATAGACATAATATGCAACTATATTCAATGGGGGCAACAGATGAGAATGAGAAATTTAATAATAGTTCTGGATTCTTTAATCAAAACATATTTGTAATGTCAAAACTAGCAAATGAATAGTTTAAATGCCCAAATTTAAAAAAAAAAATCAAATTAACTACATGGGTATGCCTTATCTATCTCTAAATTGTAAACTCCTGAACACAAGTCACAAAGGAGATTCTGCATCTAATTTTCCAGTCAGAACATACAGTCAATCTGCATTCATCAATATTACAATGAAACTAATGGGAGGAATTTGCATGTACTGTAGAGAAACCTGCAGGGCCACTGCAGTTTTCTTAGCCAGTGTGATTTGCTTACCACACTGAAGAGGTTAAGAACAGGGGTTGAATGAATCACTAGTTATGCCTTCAGACGTGGAAGATGGGTGCCACGTGTTTCCATCATAAAAGTCTATAGTCAGGAGTTTAACTCTGCAGTAAAAAATTCCCCATCAGTGTGAAACCTGGCACACAGTTCAATTTTACCCTAAAATTAAAAAAAAGTCTACAAGTTATCAAATACCACCCTCACTTAGTTTTCTCTCCATGCTTAGCATACATAAAAAACAAAAACCAAAAAACTGGAGAGGTGCCTGATTCTGAAATACGCTTTCTTTCTAGAATAAAGTCAAGCACAGAGGTGATTACAACCCACCCTGGCTGGTGAGGCAGGAGTTGAAAGTATCAACAAAAAAAAGGGGAGATTGATCAATATAACAATAACCCCCTTTCTGCTTTATCCCATACTCCCTTTTTTGATACAAAAAGAGAATAAAAACAGGGTCCAAGACAAAGGGAAACTATTACAGGAGAACAGTTTTTTACAAATTCAAAAATGCTAAAATCCCAGTTAAAAAGAACTTTACTTTCTACTATTGCTTAAACAAACCAACTGAGTGATTCAAAGATAAAACAACAACTTAAAAAATTACACCTAAAAAAAATCAAAAGCGTACTTACTAATAGCTGGAGCTATTCCACCTACTGATCCTGGGCCAGGGATGTTTCCTGCCACGGCTGCTGCCTGAGCAGCTGCTGCAGCTTGTGCCGTGGCCGCTTGCTGCTGCATCTGACGATGACACTGACGCAAATCAAAGACCTTAAAAAAGGTAAGTTTAATGAGATGAGTCTATCAGAAGATTGCATATATCAAAAACTAACGCCCAATTTATTTAAACATTCATAGCTTCAAAATTAGCTCTTAGAGGAAGAATATGGACATGGTTGAGGTGTGAAGTTTGTACCCCAAAACTTACATATTTTGTATACAAATAGAAAATAAAAATTTGAGGGGAAAAAAAACAAACCTAAAACTCCCATGGGAAAAAATTTTTTCAGTAAAACTTGATTGTATTTGAAAGTCAGGACGGTGGCCTGGAGCTCACCCAGATGCCCATTTCATTCTCAGGACAGCTTTAGCAGCCACTGTAGTCCTTTCCTTTAAAAATCCGCCCATCTGTATAAAATGAGCAGTTAAAAAGTCATCTCTACCCTTTCACAATCAGTTTGTTGAGAATTTTATTTAGGCAAGGGGACAGCCTTGGTTATATGGTCAACTTCTTTATCATTCTAGCTATCTGGAGAAATGTCATAAGGGGCATTGTTACTTTTAAGTGATTTATTTTAGAGATGTGTACTTTATACACAGAAGCAAAACAACATATCTGAAACTTGTTTTAAAATATGTAAGAAACTAAGAAAAAATAGATCAAGCAAAGGTAAAATCTTAGACTACTAAATATGATGAATATAAAGCTTTTCTCTAACTTAATTTCTCTGTACTTTTCTTTTTATTTCAAATGGCTCAAGACTTTATCCTTATCCTCATGAAGTGCTAGAACACATTACAGATGATAAATCACATTGCTTTATTTCTAGAAAAAAAAAACAACTTCCTAAATAATTGCTTATATTTCATTTTTAAAAACACTGGAAGATTAAACAGAAGTGTGGTCATCTGTAGAAGTTGTACGAAGAAGACAAGGACAAAGACAGCAAAGTGTTCTAACTCAATGAAACCTCTTTTACAATCCTTAAAATTTCTGAATCATGTGACCACATTTTATTCAAGAAGTAAATTGAAATTTAAAAAAACTCCTCTTAGAATACACAAAACCCAAATATGAGCACCACTGACAATATGAGAAATCTAAAATTGCACAGCTTACTATTCTGTCAGATAAACAACACATTTGGAACCCAAACTATTAATTTTCAAGCTAATGAAATTAAAATAATAAAAAAAATTCTGGTGGTAATTTAGCCATGGTATTTATACAAACCATAAGGGTATATACCAATGATAACCAAAACAATTCTTTCTGAATAGCAAATCACAATCCTATTTACTTATTTTTCTATTCAGTGTCTAACTTCTCAAGTCTATCCAGATTAGCATCAACAAAGGACAAAATTAGACTATCCCAATTCTCCAAAGATATACAACTGTCAAATATATATGGATGTATTACCCAGCCAAATTTTTAGTCCTAAAAGACATCAGGACAGACTACATGACAGACCTGGAAATCAGAAATCCTACAATGCCCACCAGAAACCATTATTTTCTCAAAATTTCCCAAGAATCTTTTAGATTCTGAACTTTTCCACTGGGTTCTATGTAATCTCCTGGAATACACTAGCTACCATAACACAAAGAAGGAAATCAAGTATCTGGAAAAAAGCAAGTAAGTCTACACACACTTTTTTAAGAAGGAAATAAATAAGCTTTTTAAGATCAGTTTTAGGTTCCTGATGAAACTAAGCAGAAAGTAGAGAGTTCTCTGTCTCAAGTAAAACCTCCCCCACTATAGCTTACCACACTGGCAGACTTGTTAGAATCAATAAACCAACATTACTAACAATCACTGAATTATATACTTTAAATGGGTAAATTATATGGTATATGAATTATCTCAATAAAGCTGTTAAAAAACACACGCAATACAGTTCTAGCTTCTTGGTTCATAAAATGAAAGAATGGCTCTTCAAACTTGTTTCCTCATTTTAATTAAAATAGGGAAAAATACTTTTGTATTTATGCAAATACCCAATGTGGGGGCACAACCCCCAGGGTTCATGTCATCTACCTACAATTCACCCTAGTAATATCATCTCTGGTGAGACACTATCAGACAACCTAGCCAGTATATACAGATCCTCTAATTACTACTGCCCAAAAAATTAGCAAATGAAGAACATGTCAGTGGTCAGTTTTAGGATATACCTGGCATCTCTTTCTGGCTAATAAAAATGCTCTCCTAAAAAATAATAATAATAATAATAATAATAATAATAATATTATTATTCTTGGTAAACAGAAATAATTCTTTTTCACTCTCAGACAATATGACAAAATGTTATGTCTTTATTTCACTAAAATGTCCCATAAAATAACTATTTTTCAGGACAAAAACCTGAGATTATAAAAATCTATCCATCGTTTTATCAAGTGATAACTTCTTTCACACCTTGGAGGGCTTCTTAAGGGTCATTAAAGGTCATTTATACCAAAATAGAAATAAGCTACATTAATTTAACCATCTAAGAAATTGATTACCAAGAATGTATATTTTTAAAAACTCAATTGTTTTAAATACTACTCTACTTCATATCTAATCAATTCATAAATACTACCAGGCACACAGTACATACTTAACATGATTGTCAATAGCCAAAACAATCTTGAAAAAGAACAAAGTTGGAGAACTCATACTTCCCAATTTCAAAAGTTACTACAAAGCTATAGTACTCAAGTTCAAGTAGTACTGCCACAGTATAGCTCTACAAATCAATAAAATAGAACTGACAGCCCAGAAATAAACCTTTACATTTAAGGTCAACTGATTTTCAACAAGGTATCACAAACTTCTCCTGCCTCACCCGCTGCTCCCCTCAGCAGCGTGTTTCAGTACATCTGCCTGCTCTGCTCTCATGCTCTCTGGTGAATCCTCTCACCCACCGGATCTCTGGCTTACACCCAGTTCTTGTATTGTAAACAAATAAATCTTTAAAAAAAAAAAAAAAAAAAGCCCTGGGAGAAAATATAGAAGTAAATCTTCAATGACCATGGATTAGGCAGGTTTCTTAGACATAATACCAAAACCTCAATTAAACAAAGAATAAGTCAGACTGTATCAAAATTTTAAAGTTTTAGAAAAGCTGTAAATTCTACCATCAAACAAATGAAAGACAAGCCAAAGAATAAAAATTTCAAACCATGTATTTGATAAGGTATTGATATCTAAAATACAACTTTTGCAACTCAATAATAAAAAAGACAAAACCCAATTAAAAATGTACAAAGTCTGAACAGATATTTCTCCATAGAAGATACATTAGTGGCCCAAAAACGCATGAAAATACGTTCAACGTTCAACATTAATAACCATTAGATAGACGCAAATCAAAACCACAATGAGGTATCATTTCCCATTCACTAAGATGGCTAAAATCAGAATGACAGACAATAAAAAGTATTGGTAAGACTACTGAGAAACTAAAATCCTGATATACATATCTTGCTGGTAGAAAAGTACGTTGGAAAACAGTCTGGCCATCCCTTAAAAAGTTAAACATAAAGTCAACCTCATGATCCAGCAATTCCACTTCAAGGTATATCCAAGAAAATGAAAACATAAATCTACCTAAAAACTTGTATATGAATGTTATTCATAATCGCCAAAAAGTAGAAGCAAACTGTATGTCCATCAACTGAAAACAGACAAATAAGATCCACAGTGGAGGAGAGTCACGACAGACAGAAAGTACTTGGAGTACCAAGACCAAAAACAAGAGAGTATGAATTCAATTTCTTAAAGTAATATTTAAACTTTCTGAAACTCTCTAAGGGCTACCAACTGGGCACATGCCCATAAAAAGGCAGGTAAATACTTTGACAGACAGTTCCGAAGTACACTTAGGAATAAAATTCTTGCCCAAGGCAGAGATAAGCATCAGAGAAACCTATGCAGCAGGAATTAGGCCCTTAGTATACCCTGGGATTGGAACTCAATTTCCCCAAGAGACAAAATCTCTCTACCTCTTATATATAAAAATTGAGATGTGGATCCCAGGGTGCCAGACAAAAGCAAGACTGCCTTATAGGGACAAGTGATGGCTAGGAGGAAAAAATTAAAAATAAAATGAATTTAATTCTCTCAAGAAAAACTTGCCAACACACAGATTACAAAACGAAGTAATCCAACATCACTTAAAATTACAAAGCGCAGAAACTAAAATTCCTTGTGGAAAAGCATAAAAATACAAGTAAGATAATTTATCTTGCAGAGACAGTACCTGATACAACGTTGTACCAATCGTTCTAGCCTTGTGGGTATATAAACATATACAAATGTCCATGACTTTTTTTTAATAGGTATATTTTATTCTATTTTTACAGATCAAAACTTTAAATGATTCTCTATTATAAATTTTAACAGGGAATTGTTAATTTTTTTAGATTTGATAACTGATTCTTAGTTGTCTTTAACAGTGATTCATACTGAAGTATTTTATGAGTGAACTAATATAATTTTGGAATTAGCTTTAACAGGGAAAAACAAAGAGAAAGAAACACATTTAAGTTTGGCAAAATACTCATAATGGTTGAAGCTGGATGACAGGTTCACAAAGGTTTGCTGTTTGCTGAATACTTAGTATATTTGAAAGTTTCATTTAAAAAAGATTCCTATATCCTTTAACTGAACGATAGTGACTGAAGACAATAAATGGATTCATTCTGAGACAATCAAGCAATTCCATTTTGGTTATATTTTTTGTATGCTAAACAATTTTCTGGGAATAAGTTATGAGGTAAAGTTAATTCCATTTATCTATAATAGCTAACAGTAAAAGATTCTTAAAATGACTGTGAAAAATGTGAAACTAAAAATGTATTCAGGATATCTAATTACAATTATCTTTCCTTTAGAAACAGTTTATGTGATAAAACTAATATTGAAATGGGTTAAATATATAATGATTAATGAAAAGTAACTCAGGCTTAGTTTACAAAATCTTTATAGTAAATAAAACTCATTTAATGCACAAAATAATTAAGCTTTAAAAATCTGGGATTGAACTTGTCACCTCTTAGGTTCTAAATTTGAAAAGCTATTCATTTTAGAATTCCCCTCCATAAAGTTTTGAAAATTAGATAAATTTCTAAAGTCTAATTTTTAAGAATTTTATATGTCAAAGGTATGTAAGTTTGGAGGCTTCACTCAATATTTTCAAGAGCATATTATTACTTTAAAGCATCTAGAAAATTTGCTAAGAGAACACTACCAAATTCAAACTTAAAACTAAACAACTCATCATGTTAATAAATGCCTCCAGGAAATGTGTATTATACACAAATGTAATTTCTTTTTTTTTTTTTTTTTTTAAAGATTTCTTTATTTATTTATACAAGCACTGGGTACAGTCAGAAGCGCAGGAGGGTGAGAGAATTCACCAGAGCCAAAGCGGGGAACAGAACAGGCAGACTGACGAAATACACTGCTGAGGGGAGCAGCGGGCGCGGCAGGAGAGGTCTGTCACGCCATGTGGGACCCTCTCCAGGGGCGGGGATCGAACCGGCGCTGCAGAGGCTGCGGGCAGCTTTGCAGCCCAGCGCTCAACCGCTGCGCCACCAGGGGAGGCCCTACACAAATGTAATTTCTGACTGCTAAATAGGTAAGACATTTATCCACTCCTCCACCTCCATCTCATTTCTTTAAAAAACAAACAGCTTTCCAAGCCTGCAAAAATATTCAAGCAAAAGTGTAACTAACCTTTATATATGCACTTGGGTAGATCTTATGAACAGCATCTCCAGGTGCACGCCCAGCTTCTCTGTCTAAGTAGTAACTCTGTACAAAGACCGCATGGTCGCTAAGGCACCTGACCCAAACATCACCTTCTCCTTTACATTCCAACTGTACACCTTTGCCTATATGCAACCTTAGGAAGAAAAAGAGAATTATATTCCATTTTGATAAGTATTTAGAAATAAATTTTAATTTAGATTATATAAAATACTGAATAGTGAAAAATTAAAAATAGAAAAAGGACATCATACAACACCATAACCAAGAGACAGCATTGCTATTCTATCTTCTTTCTTTTTGTAATACCTTACATATACTGATAAACATCTATCTAATGCATACGACACAATAGGAACATTTAACAAAAGTTCTCATTTAACTTTTTCAATCCAATGAGGTAAATACTGTTATTCCCATATTACAGATCAGGAAACTAAGGCTTATAGTCACACTGTCCAAATCATAGCCACATGCTACATTTACTATTTAAATTAATTAAAATTAAATTAAAATTAATTTAATCACATGGGCCATATTTTAAAGGCTCAATAGCTACATGATGTTGTGGCTACTTTGATAGAAACCATTTCCTTCACAAAAATTCTAGTCAACAGCACTGGCTTAAAGGGTATATAATTTCCCAAAATCACACAAATGACAGAACCCAAGATTTTGTACTTATACACACACGTATTTCCTTAAAGAGTTAAAATCAGAGTACATATTGTACGTTTTCCTCTAATATTTTTAGTTTTTAAATTTCATTATATAAACTTAACATTTTAACAATTATATAAAAAAAGAAAGTTCATCAAAATTAACTTAACCGTTTCCCTCTTACTAGTAGTTTTTCAATAAATAAAACTTCCAGAGACATCTGTCTTCATTTTACATTATTTCCTTTCGGTAGATTTTTAGAAATAATTTACAATCAGCAGATATAAAAATTATTTTCAAACTGGATTCCGTAAGATCAAGCTACTACTGAATACATAGAACTATACCTCACTTAGAAAAATGTTTTATTTTTTTTTTTTAAAGATTTTTTTTTATAGAGGCATGTTTTATTTATTTATTTGTTTGTTTGTTTTGTTTATACAAGCACTGGGTACAGTCGGAAGCGCGGGAGGGTGAGAGAATTCACCAGAGCCAGAGCGGGGAGCAGAGCAGGCAGAAGGACCGAAATACACTGCTGAGGGGAGCAGCGGGCGGCAGGAGAGGTCTGCGCGCCATGTGGGACCCTCCTCCGGTGGCCGGGGAGCAGCCGGGGATTGAACGCGCAGCAGAGGCTGCGGGCAGCGTCGCAACCCAGCGCTCAACCGCTGCGCCATCGGGGAGGCCCTAGAAAAATGTTTTAAATAACAAACATCTACAATGAAAATGGAATACTTACAAATCCTGAATTATTCAAAAACTTACACTATCACTGAAAAATGTAACTTCAAATAAAAGACAATGCTACTATGTTCAATTTTTAAAGTAACTATCTATAGGCTATACAATGAATACCTTGCTCTCTCAATGGCTTCTGTCCTGTGGACATTGGAGAGTTGACCCAAGCAAAAGCGATCTCCTCCAGAAGGATCCACGTATCCATCAACGGTGACAATAGGGCAGCTTGAAGGAACCTTAAATGTCTCTCCTACCTGAACGTCCATTTCAAAATAAGCGATGGAACACCAGTACTCAGGAGCTATAGAAGATAAATGAGAACACACACTCATGTGAAAGAAGGTATGTATTTTCACTCCATAAGAAAATGTTTCTCCTAAAAAAAAAAAAAAAAAAGGGTGAGGAAGGGAGAGGTATCTGAAAAGCACCCAAAAGAAATTGATTAAAAAGACACAAAGCATTAAAAAAAAAAAAAAAAAAGTAGGCATTTCCATGTCTTTTCTCAGCTCAGAATCCAGTACTGTTTTTGAAACTAGTCATTTCCAAAATCTAGAATTTGGTTCTTGACTCAAAAGACCCAGTCAATTGAGAATTTAAAGAATGGAAGTAATTAGAATCTAAAAGATTATTTTACCATGATGCTTCATTTGACAGAACATAGTATGTTCTACAGTCTAAACTTTTATTATTTTAAAACCCACTGACTCTAAGACATATTCCCGGAATGTGCTCCTGACTAACGCCAATGCATGGCATGTTTGTATACATCCCTAATTAAGAGAAAGGGCATAAGTCAGTCAGTCATCCCAGACCAAAGTCAAGGTTAATTACACTCTGACAACATAGTTGCTCTGAGCAGGAAGTCTCAATTATTTCCAGGATGAAAGGTTATTTGTCCCATCTGTAACTTTAGTAAAAGCAATTCATATTAACTACAATAGTTTTAACTTTGAAAATATATTTAGTGGAGTCATTTGAGTAACAGCGAATGATATAAAATAATTTTAAATGCTGGGGAAAAAGAGGCATTGCTTGGCTTGGTTTACAAATACAAGTTAATCAAGCATTTCTCATTTTTGTTTAAATACAACAATTATTTATGTAGTCCACATACAGGAAATTATGTGTTTTCCTTCTTAAACTAATTTAACAGATACTTGCAGGGTACCGAGGAATCATAATTAGCACCACACACAGTTGTAAACAAAATAGCTACTGTCCCTATTCTCATGGAGGTGCAGAGGCAGACAAATAAGGAAACAAATGTATAAGACAACTGAGATAATGAATAACACTGTGAAAAAAAGACAGGGATGGGACAGAAGATGCCTGGGAAAACTACTTCACACTCTACGGTAGGGATACATGGTGTCTGAGACAGTAAGACTGAAGCCTCCTATCCATGTGAAGGCTGCGAAAAGAACAGAGGGAGGCAAATGCAAAGACCCTAGAGTAGAAATGGGTTTGACATACTGAAGGGAAAAAAAAATTAGTGCCTTTTATCAGAGTATGAATGAGAGAGGGGAATGACTTTCTATAGACAAACCAATTATTTGTCTGTATCTCAACATGCCATCTGTGAATGCAACACTAATCTAGAATTTGAAGCAACAAGACTTTTAACAATTTGAAGAGAGACTTGAAGTGCCAAAAAATAGATTTTTTCAAACCCCCAAAACACGTTATAAAGAATTATGATGCTTAAAACGTGTTTTTAAAAAACCTGCAAAGTCTCTGTATCTAACTGTTTTCAAAATACTGTCAAGGAAGAAGAAAGTACTTTCCAACAAAGAATTAATAAAACATGAAGACTGGGCAATTCAAAACCTTAAAAATGCAGTCTGTCATACAGATTGAATCAAGTAATCAAAAATAGAAATATTCCTTTAAATACTGATAATTACAACATGAGAACTAGTGATATACAAAATACCTTCAAAAACCACAATGAAATATTTATGAAGTTATTGTTAAATTCTTTGAAACATCACGTTACGCTCTAGACAAGAAACCTGAGGAAACCTAACTGGCAGGTACTGACAAGCTAACACTAAGGAGGCTAAGACAAGATAACAGCAACCCAAAGGTTTGGTTGCAATCAACAGTAATCTCAGTTAGAGGTTTTTTTTTTTTTTTTTTAACTATCCTACAGAATATCATGCTGTAAGTCATGTTTTTTGTTTTTGTTTTTTTTTAAGATTTATTTATTATTTTATTTATACAAGCACTGGGTACAGTCAGAAGCGCGGAAGGGTGAGAGAATTCACCAGAGCCAGAGCAGGGAGCAGAGCAGGCAGAAGGACCGAAGCACACTGCTGAGGGGAGCAGCGGGTGGCAGGAGAGGTCTGCGCGCCATGTGGGACCCTCCTCTGGTGGCCGGGGAGCAGCCGGGGATCGAACCGGCGTTGCAGAGGCTGCGGGCAGCTTCACAACCCAGCGCTCAACCACTGAGCCACCGGGGAGGCCCTCAGTTAGAGATCTTAAACAATTTGTTCAAATGATTTTGTTACAAACAAGTCAAGAATGTTTACAATCTGGCTAATAAATAAATGAGGTCCAAGTACATGCATTTCCTACTTCATACAGAAAAGATGCCACCTAGAAGTTTCATGGTAAGCAACCTTCTTTCTAAGAGAGTCAATTTAGAGAGGGAAAAGGAGACTGTACAATCTCCAAGTTAAAATAAGAAAATTATACTTTTATCATCATAAAGTGCTACATTTGCAAATGTACTTAAATCTTATTATTTTCCAGTCATCAAAGAGTTTGATTGCCTAATATTTCAGACACCATACAACAGCAATGGTTATATAAAGCCGTGTCCCTGAACAGGTTTAATATGGGTTGACTTGCTAGTACTGGGAACAAAAGGGTTCTAAAAGAGTTTTAGATAAAAAGACACTGGCATCAAAATTGCACCATGGACCAAGGATGAAAAACAGCTATTTATTAAGAGATTCTTAAGGTCTAGGAAAGCAGGAAGGTGGGGGAGGAAGGGTCTTACCATCTGTGAGGACAGAGAGGGCTAGACTAGAGGTAATGTATGTGGGTCCCAGAGAACCTGACAATGTTGAGATACAAAATATTATGTGAAAATTTTTTCTGCTCCACTCTAACTTTACTAAACAACCAGGAGGAATCTTTTTTTTTTTTTTTTAACAACAGGGGAGGACAATAGAAAACACCTTCATTAAGCCTTTCTGGATCATTGTTTCCTCTTTTGCTCCGAAAACTAAATGCCATATAAGTGACATGTCTGCAGCTCAAAAGTAGCATCAGCAGCAAGACAGACTACTCAGTTCAGAGAGAACTTTCCTAAAGTCCCAACTCATTTGAAAGGCAGTAGATTGTGATGTGCTTGTTCCAAAGTTAGTAAAGTTGAGCAGGTTTCATGAAGCCTGTGCGGCTAGCACTAAGGAAAAAAAAAAAAGTCCTGAAAGACTGAATTAAGAACACAATTTTTTTTCCTAAGAACTCAATAATTTTTGTAATGGGGAAATGAATTATAAAGCTGTTTTAGCAAACAAATGTTATCCAACTACATTGGAAAATGCAAATATCCAAGGCATTATCTTCATTTTTCTGAAATAAAAGTCATCAAAGAAAAGGTTAAAAAATTAGTTAAAGCACCTCATGAATTATTTCTTTTATGATTCAGATCTGAAGGAGAGTCCTATGAGACTCTTTTGACACATAAAGGTAATCTCTTGGATGGTGGTAGTTTCAAAGGAGTAAGATAGAACCAGAATTTGGAAATTTGTCAATTTTTGATTCTGTAAATTACTAAAGAAAGCTCAAAAGACCCAAGACACTCTTCACTCTAATTTGCAAACAATATTTAACTTGATGAATAGATCTCAGCTTTAAGAAAAAGCAAAAACAGACTAAGTCCATGAAAACAATGACAGGTTCAGTCTTTTCCAAATACACTTTCTCAGCTTAGTTATCTAAGTCAAAGCATAGAAATCACCAAACATATGGACTGTCTGAAATCTTTAACACCAAGGTAATGACAAATACTAATTATTTTAATTTTCTATAATTTATAATTCACCTATATTTCCTAAAACACTTGTGCAATTACTTCAAAAACAATCTTTCAAAATAGATTCATTATATATTATTGATTTTAATTTCTTAAAAATGCACTCATGCATATTTCCTGACCAAATGATACTAAGTCTGTGGTATGATAGTTTAACATTTCTTAATCAAACATTAAGGGGCTCCATTAACCATACGCTTAACATAAAATTTTACTTTTCTATCAATGATAACAGACATGTAAACTAGTAACTGTAATTGAGTAGGATCAGAAAGTACTCAACTAGTAAGTGAATGGGAATGTTTTCCAACAGTGTTGTACTTGCCCTGGATCTTAAGAGTATGCCACATTCAGGAGGCTAGGGATATGTGGTATGGGAATCAAGATTATGCCCTGTGAATCTTGCCTCCTGATAATCATATCCCGTGTAACCCCCTCCCCACTAAATAGGATCTTATAAAAACAATGTGGCCAAAGACTTCTTATAAAAACAACTTGGAGGGCCTCCCCGGTGGCGCAGCGGTTGAGCGCTGGGTTGCGAAGCTGCCCGCAGCCTCTGCGGTGCCGGTTCGATGCCCGGCTGCTTCCCGGCCACCGGAGGAGGGTCCCACATGGCGCGCAGACCTCTCCTGCCGCCCGCTGCTCCCCTCAGCAGTGTACTTTGGTCCTTCTGCCTGCTCTGCTCCCCGCTCTGGCTCTGGTGAATTCTCTCACCCTCCCGCGCTTCTGACTGTACCCAGTGCGTGTATAAACAAAAACAAACAAACAAATAAAATAAATAAATAAATAAATAAAAGCATGCCTCTATTTAAAAAAAAAAAAAAAAAAATTAAAAACAACTTGGAGGCCAAGTCCTTAAAAATTTTGAAGCTCCATCTTGCTCTTTCCTGATCAATATCTCTGGGGGAAGTTAGCTGTCAGATGAAGACTCCCAAGAGCTCAGTAGAGAGATCCACGCAAAGGGAAACGGGTTTCTTGACAATAACATTAACTGGCCAGGTATGTAGGCAAACCATCCTGAAAGTGAATCCTCCAGTCTCAGGAAAGCTTTCAAATTATGCCTGATCCAACAACCTGACAACACCCTCATGAGACAAAGTCAATCAAACCTTGCTAAGCCATTCATGGATCCCTGGTCCATAGAAACTAAGAAAGATAACAAAATGCTATTGCTATTTCAATGTGCTAAGTTTTGGAGTACTTTGACTAAGCCTGAGTATCAAACAAATCAGACTGAGAATAACATATACCAAAAAAGCACAGAGGGATGAAACAGTCTAGAAACTTGAGTAAGCAGTTCACGATGAATAAAGTATAAGAAGATGAAGCTAGGTAAGTTTGTAGAGACCAGGATTAGAGACTCTCTTGCACCTAGCTAAGGAATTTGGACTTTCTTCTAGGAGCAAGCAATGAACAGAGGAATCAATGCAAATTCTTCAGCAGAGAAATAATTACAAAGTTTTAAAAGAAATATTGAGTAGCAGCAGAAAGTAAATGATGGGGAAAAGGGCACTATGACTAAAAACTCTCCTAACAGGGAGACCAGTTAGAATATTCTTTTAGAAGTAAAAGAGGAGAAATGAACAATTGTGAGAGAATACTCCTCTGAGGCCCATTCATATTCACAGCCAAAGAGTTCAGTCATCTGGGTCTGATCAAGTGATTTCCATTAGAGGTGTATGCATAGAGCGAACTCCTCCTGCAAGTGCTAAGACAAAGCCATTTTCAGGATCATCCTTACCATTAAGTCACTTCTGTTCTACTCAAAGACAGACCTCAATGCCAATGTACAGTGCCATACATGCACATCCTCATAACTAGTTAATGCTATTTCCAAAACCACCAGCTGCTGTTGGGCCTCAATATCAATGATAAAAATGAAGTAAAACTATCAAGAGGCCAAAAGCAACTGCTGAATCCAAAACTGAGTCCAAATGACTAGCTAAATGCCACCACTCCCATGCCCACGCCATCATTCCATCCAGGGTAGACCTTTCCTGAGCCCTGACTATGATCACTCTGCAGGCCACCTTCCACTAAGCTATAAGAATACTGAGACCCAAGTTGCCAGGGGCCACTACTAACACACAAGGTGCTGACCTGGGTCAGCAAGCACTACCATTTTTGGGACTCTAGATTTTCCAGTTCTTACCTGAATATATTAATTCACATACAAATGAAAAATGATTTCATGAATTCCTTTATATAATTTCGAAAATAAGTATAACCAAACTACTAAACTAGATGTTTGGGGCTTCATTAGTCACTTTCAAGGAGCAAAAAATAATGTCCCTAAAATGTGGGACAATTGGTTCCCTGGAGGAGAAAAGTTTGACTGAGACAAAATACATGGAGTAGGGGCCTCCCTAGTGGCACAAAGGGTTAAGCACAGCTATCTGCAACCTCTGCAGCCTCTGCAGCATGAGTTCAATCCCCAGCCAGCAAGGGAGCTACCCACATGGCCCAGCAGACTTCTGTCTCTACCACTGCTCCCCTCAGCAGTGTATTTCAGTCAGTCTGCCTAGTTCTGTTCCCCACTCTGTCTCTGGTGAATCCTCTCATCCTCCTGCACCTCTGGCCTATACCCCAGTTCTTGTATGCATAAATAAATCTTAAAAAAAAAAAATACATGGACTAGGAAGGTTTCTAGGGGTGCTGCAATGTTTTAGGTCTCAATCTAGGTGATAGTTACACAGGTGTTAGTATTTAATGCTATTCATTAGACTGATGTGTATTTGTTTTGTGTATTTTTCTGTATATCACATTTCTCAAAAAAAAATTTCTAAAAAGGCAAGACCCTTTGACCCACAAAAATGTTTAAAATCACAATACATAAATAACACAGGAAACACATGAAAGAGAATAACTAGCAAGTATGTATAACTAAAAAATACCTTTCTCGGGCTTCCCTGGTGGCTCAAGGGGTTAAGCAGAAGCACTATGAAGCAATCCGCAGCCTCTGCAGCACAAGTTTGATCCCTGGCCGGCCAGAGAGAAACCCACATGGCGCAGATCTCTCCTGTCTCACCTGCTGCTCCCCTCAGCAGTGTATTTTAATCAGTCTGCCTGTTCTGTTCCCCATTCTGTCTCTGGTGAATCCTCTCACCCACCCCTGCATCTCTGGCCTGTACCCCAGCTCTTGTATGCATAAATAAATAAATAAATCTTTAAAAAAAAAGATACCTTTCTCTCCCCAGCAGCATTTTTCTCCTAATCAAACAATTATTTACCTCCTAAATCAGCAAAAGGTTAAATTATCATGTCTTTTACTAGAAAACTGGTTCTCTTACTCTAATGTGATCACTGTAAAGCAATTTGGCTCTAGGTCCAAAAACACTTTAAATCTCTTATACTAAAACATGAGAAGATCTTCTCATAAAGACCTTCCCTTCAGTGTTTTTTTTTAAAGATTCATTTATTAATTTAATTAATTTATTTATTTATATAAGCACTGGGTACAGTCAGAAGCGCGGAAGGGTGAGAGGATTCACCAGAGCCAGAGCAGGGAACAGAACAGGCAGCGTGACGAAATACACTGCTGAGAGGAGCAGTGGGCGCAACAGGAGAGGTCTCCACGCCATGTGGGACTCTCGCTGGTGGCCAGGGATCGAACCGGCGCTGCAGAGGCTGTGGGCAGCTTCACAGCCCAGCGCTCAACTGCTGCGCCACCAGGGGAGGCCCCCTTCAATGTTTTTTTAACAGCTAAAAGAAAAACTAGAATCGGGCCTCCTGTGGTGGCGCAGCGGTTGAGCGCTGGGCTGCAAAGCTGCCCACACCCTCTGCAGCAGCGGTTTGATCACCGGCCGCCGGCGAGGGTCCCACACGGCATGCAGACCTCTCCTGCTGCCCACTGCTCCCCTCAGCGGTGTATTTCATCAGTCTGCCTGTTCTGTTCCCCTCTCTGGCTCTGGTGAATTCTCTCACCCTCCCGCGCTTCTGAATGTACCCAATGCTTGTATAAATAAAATAAATCTTTAAAAAAAAAAAAAAGAAAAACTAGAATCAACATAAACAATCAAAAATGAGAACACTAAGAAAATTAGGTAGACCAGTTTGATGAACTGTACGTTATCCGTTAAAATTGATATCATAGTTACTGTAGTTACCAGTATTTTAAAAAATCTTTACTAGAAATGTATACTGAGATATTTACATATAAAAAAATTATATAGGATTTCCTTCAAAATAATAGGTGAGGTGAGGTTATGAATGAAACAAGTAGAGGATGGTGTGAATGAAGTAAGATTGGCCATCAGTGAGGACTGAGTACAATGAGTGGGGTTCCTATGCTGTTTTGGGATTTGAGATTCTTCAAAATAAAATTGTTTAATTGGGGGAAAAATTAAGGTGATTAGTTGAATTATGTACTGGGTTGTTGAAAAAGTCATGTTGTATTTTTGCTTGAAAAACAGAAAAAATATGTCATGAAAAGTTAACAAAAACTGATACAAAGGGATGGAGGGAAAGGGGAAAAAAACAAAATCCTATGTTTAAAAAGTCTTTGGTATTTTTTATTTCCAATTTTTTTGCTTTTATCCTTAGAGTTTCAAATTATATTCAAATTTTGCATTGATGAACTCTACTTAGCTAATTACTCCTTTCAACATAGTTTAATCAAATATTTTTAAAATTCCAGTTAGCCAGAGGTTCCTGAATCACACTTTGAAGACAGACACAGTAAGTTATTTTTCTTTTCAGCATCTACTTAAGATTCTTCCCTGGCTTTCAAAGCTATAGCCTTATAGCTGCTCTATTTTGAAACCCAGTTTTCTGCTGCTGTGTAAAACACAGTTCTTGTCTTTTCTCTTGGAAACACTTGAAAATAATCAAATACAGTTTATGTGTGACTATATGAGCTACATGTAAACTGATAATTAACTAATGCCAAAATAGAATATTGTACCTATCTGAAAAGCTAAGTTACTCTCTATTTTATTAAAACCTGTGTGTGCATGCATGCGCGCGCGCGTATGCGTGTGTGTGTGTGTGTGTGTGTGTGTGTTTGTGTAAGAAGAAAGAGAAAGATGTTTCAACTTCCATAAAGAAAAATCTAATACAGGGAATCAATTCTAAAATACACTTACCAGGATGATTGGAAATGGGAGGCTGGAATGCAAGTTCATTGTGAACTGGCCCTAAAGAAAAAACAATAAAAATCCCATTTTTATTTATTAAAAGTTTTCTAATGCTAAAACTTTTAATAAGCCTTACTTAAATTTAACTATTGTACCTTTGGAGTTGTTATGCAATGTCTAAGAACTTAAAAGCTTAATTTAGATTATAATTATAGCAAGTAAAAACTCATTTATTTTCCTACTAGCTATTTAACAGCTAACACTTCAGTGCAATGTGCCAAGTGCTGTTAATCAATTTACAACAGTTGTACACACACAATTTAATGTAAATTATGTGTATTATTCACATAACATCATACAGTACAATTTACAATGCAACATATGAAAATAATTAAAATTGTTAGGCTCATTCTAAAATTAAGTTTATGGTTTATTAAATTCAGGATATTTACATAATGGAAGAATAGCTAACATAATTGAAATTATTACGTGTTAAGACATTGTGCTAAACACCTAAATTATTACATTTACTTCACTACCCTTAAAACAGGATGGTTAAATAACTTGCCAATGGCTACAAAACCAGTGAAGTGTCCCAACTCAGTACCCTTAACCACTATGCTGGCCTTGGCAGGCATTAACAATTATATTCTCTTAAGACACAGAAAAATAGTAACGTAGCTGGAAAAAAGCAGGATACAACAATATATACACAGTATGATTCCTTTCACACTCCCCCCCCACCAAAGTTTTATATATTCATTTATATATGACTGGAAGGAAAAATATGACAAAGTATTAGAACTGGATATCTATGAGTAGTAGGATTCTGGATAATTTTCATTGTCTTATTTAAAGTTTTCTATATTTTCCAAGTTTTCTTTAGTACTATTAATCTTATAGCAAAGGAAAAGGAATTTAGTATCTATGCAAGATTTTATACTCCTGATTTTACTAAGCCAAAGGAGCAAGGTTCCTATTCTGCCTGAAACTATAAGCTATGGTTATCAGTATGGTTATCCCTCCCAATCAGGCTGCACAGAGTATTAGAGATTCAACATTTGAGTGTCTACAGGATGCTGAGTAATATGGTGAGGGAAACCTTGAGATTTTGACACTCAAGGGGTTTCAATCCACTTTGGGTGGATATACAGAAATATGAGTTCTAAAAACATATATAAAGCAAACAAACAAATGAATGGAAATCAATGTGATGTAGTGAAACATTAGCAACAGAGAAATAAATGCATTTAATAAATATCACTCCTCTAAAACAAAGGTATGATGACTATGAAAGATACTAACATTTACCAAAAAAAGTGACAAGCACTCATCATTTAATGAAACTAAATTGTAAGATGACTAAAGATGAAAAAAGTGCTTTTTGAAAAATAAAAAACAAAGTCCTCAAAAAGAAAAGGCCCTTACAACAAAACCAAGAGCTTACAGTAATGTCCGGGATGTGGGGGCGGCATAGGCGGGTGGTGCTGAAGATGGCCGTTTTGGTGGTGAGGCAAATTAGGTGTGTATGGTGCGGTCCTACTTCCAGTCCAGGTGGTAGTGCTGTCTAAAAATTAAGGCCCACATGGATTAATTTGCTTTTATATAAAGTCTGCCTATTTTTTCTCAACTACTTAAAAGATTTTAAAAAGTATGTACATACTATGATGGTAAGTAGCTGGCTGACCAGTAAATCCATTCTGCTGCTGTCCTGGCTGAGGCCCTGAAGCTATCTGCAACAATCCTTCACTATGGCTGCCTGCCAATATACTGGCAGGCTGACCTAGAGGAACAAGAAGACATTAATATGGTACATTTACAGATGCAATCCTATAGTTTTATACAGCAAATGAAGGACCAATTTTATCTGATCATCGAAACTCTAAAGATGTACAAAAAGTGGACCTCACCCATGGTCTATCAATTAAAAAACCTAAAGTCATCCATTAGAGACAAACCTTAACTTGAAGTTCAAATTCATTCTACCTTAAGTTATATCTAGCTCATTTTAGTGGCCTCTTGTATCGCAAATAGTCTACAAAAATGTCAGCAAAATCCCACTCTATGTCTAGCATATTACAACTTCTTCAGAAGTACATTAGCTCACCCCTGGCCACTCCATCCAGCTCTGGACCTTTCTGATTAGGACTCCAAAAGTCCAGGCTCAAGAAAATGTTGAAAACCGAAAAGTTCATTATTATCAGCATGGGTACTGGTAATGGCAGAATGCTAGGGTTTGATAAAAGAAAAGCAGAGCAGGCAAATAATTTAAATGGAATGTGATGGGTAAGGTGAGGAAGTTAAAAAAAGATATAGCTCCACTGTCCAATCATCATAGCATTAGCTAATAAAAAACAAAAAAACTATCAGACTACTTAAAATATTTTCCATGTACTTTAGAGACCAAGTATCACTTCTTTTTAAGATTATTTCTTATTCCTGGATTTATAGGAAATTAGTTGCCCTCTCTATATGTAATATAATGGGAAGAACTAAGCTTCCTTTGGCTTCTATTCTATTTGAAACCATCCGATGATATTGTTTACTGGTTTATATTGTTAAGGCTTTAAGTGGAAAAAGCTTGATTTCTTAAAGCAAGCTTTTAATTAAGTCACTTTTTTATCTCATTTGGAAAGCACTGAAATTTCATAATTGTTATTTATCAGCTCATTCTTTTCTCATTTCAATGGAAACATAATCAGACAGAAGATAGTAAATAATACTCAATGTATTACGAAAAGGAACATTTTTCTCCCCCTTACAAATGTAGAAAAGGAACATTTTTCTACATTTAAGAAAGGGAGCATTTTTCTCCTCTCTACATACCACATTTCCTGCAAAACTGTAAAATTTAAAGCTAAAGAAAATTTCAATACTGCCCAAATTATTTATTTTTAAATATGTTTTTAGCAACCTCTTTTCCTATTCTTTCCCAGAATTTTTCACAAATTAACTTTAAAGGTTAATTACAATTATACTCTTACTTTTGCTATTGTACATGCTATGTACTCGTTTTACTTACAAACATGGTCACCAAACAGGAGAAAATAATGATTTTTGTTTACAGATATTTAGAAAAATACCAGAAGATATGAGGTGCCAAATGAACATAAACTGTAAGGCAGCCCACTGTAGTTATCTTTACTGAATACTTCCAGTAAGTGAGATGAAATCAAACAATCTAAGTCAGTTCATGTATAAGTCTTATAATTCCCCTACTTCATTTTCTTTTAATTATATCATACTTTTTTGAGCTCTCATGAAAACATTTTAAGTTCTAAAACCCATTCAGTTGTGAGAGTATACCCCAAAAATACCAAGACAAAATTATCTGCATTTAATTTATTTCACATTTTTGCTCTTCAAATGGGACTCAGTCTCCAGAAGTTCAAATGAAGTCACTTTAGTAGGCATCAACAAAGGCATATAAATTTTCCATCTCCAGATAATATAAACAGAGGTAACTCACTGTGCTCTAGCACTAATTTATACTCAACTGGCCATTACATATCTTCTTTAGTCTCCATCACTACCCATTCTATTTGTCAACATTTCCAAAGTGGTACATAAATAATATTCAGAAAACAGAAACACTGACTAAGAGTCCAGGCCCTAAAGTATATGCTTAATCCGTACAACCCAGTTAAAATATGCTTACATGGTGAAATACTTATTTCATGTACCAAATGCAAAAGATACTGCTTTGAAGAGATAAAATGAACTAAAGAAAAGGAAATTTGCTATACTATGCTTAAAAACTCAAATTACAGAAAACAATCCTTCATATATTCCAAAGAGCAAATGTGATCTGATGTTAGAGAATAAGGCCCCCTTTGGTAGCAGTTAACAAAGTATCAGTTCTGATCTATCAACAAGCTAAATGGTGTGCTTAGATATATTCCTGTTAGCAAGGAGGTACAAATAACACCATACACATGCCAGCTCTGTGATTAATAAAAAAGGAAGCTACTCTACTTGCCAAGCAGTATACTGTTCAACCTTTGGTGAAAATAAAAAGCAGTATGTCAATGTCTCGATCAAAACCAAAGAAAAGGTGAACTTAGCAGCTCTCTATTCCATGACATGACAAGAGAATGTGGTACCAACATCATGAATGGTTTTTGGAAGACTTCTTATTTAAAAATAGTCAGGTAAAAGAACATAGCTTTATATCAAAATTGACTAAAATACTCAGTATCTATCTTGAAGGACTTAGAAACACTTTTGTTAAGATCCCCTTTTCTAAGTTTGCATAATGGGAAACTGAATGAATAATATAAAGTAATATTCTGCCAGGTACAACATGTAAGAACATTGATTAAAGGAAGGTTTGTAAATCCATGAACACAAATTTTGACAAACATCTTAATTCAAAACTACTACTTATGTATTTCTCTAAATATATCTGAAAGCTAAAGAGGTTTCTTACTTCTGCATGTAATAGTAAAGGACAAATCAGGTCATTATTTAAATTAATATTATTATAATCGAAGTCATTACTTAAATTCCAGCAACTAAGCATCAATATAAGAACCTTAAATAAATTACAAACACCATTTTTTCCAGGACCAACCCAAAAACCTATTTATACTTATTTACCTATGAAAGATTCTATAGTACTTTCAATACTTTATTTACTTGGAGTTTTTGCCTAGTGGCATACAATGGTTAGGGAAATTCAACTTGTTGACTACATCTGATTCTGTAACTCACTTGTGGAAGCCACAGGAATGTTGGGAAAGTTGGTGGTGCTGGTAGCATTAGACTCAGATGGCGCTAACAGAGCTGGGGTGCTGTATGTCTCCGTAGATGCCCGATTACTTGGTGGATGCTGAATGGTTTGAATTGAATGCCCCTCAGTGGATAACGATGACTGTCCCTCAAAGTCATGAACATATTCATCCTTCACCAACATACTTGGTGGAGCTGTATAGAAAATTAAACATTTTAAAATCTTGTAAGTTTTTATTCCCAAGAAAAAAATCTTTTAAGTATTGTAACAATACCTAAATTCAACTACAGTATACCTAACTCATTCATATTTTTCCCCTATAATTCTGAAAACATACTACTTTTTCAGTAAAAGCTATTTACTTATTGATAATGCATAAGATATATTTTATCAATCAATCTGACTGACTCCTTGAAATCTGAAGCTAGACTATATTCTAACAACCTCCAGTAATGGTCCTAAAGAGGTATTCCTTAGTTTCTTGATTAACAAAGAAGTAATAATCACCTGAAATATATGAGGTAGATGAAGACCATATGGCTAGGGAGAAGGTTTATCCTGAGAAGACCAATTGTTTAGTCCAATTTGAAATACACTACTTTTTTTTTTTTTTCATACGATAGAGAAATGAGTAGTCTGATACTACCCAATTCCAGGATCAAGAATTATCAAGTAACATATACTTTGAAAGTGAAGTTTATATTGCAAGGGTTAATGCAAAACAGAAAGATCCTAAATGGTTGTCAAATTTCCTTCTAGATATGCAATCCAAAGAGATGTTTGATAAATAAGTGGTATGAAAAACTCAATAAGCAACATATTTCACCTATGTGGTTACACCTTAATAAACATAGTTAAACACTAACTGATACAATATAATACCTTTCCTTTAACAAATCAGGGAACAATTTGCTTTGTTGTGAGAAAAAAACAAAACTGAAACTACATTTATAACGTCAAGAGTTCTCTGTCCAAAACCTGACCATTTGTTTTGGGGTGACTGTTTCAGGGTTTGCTTTTTATCTTTAGCAAACAACACTTCACTGCTTCTGAACTAACACTATCCCAGAATTTTACAATCCAGTGAGCTCTAATAATAGCTTCTCTTCTTAGAACAGTTAATTAATAGTCCACAAAGACACTCTCTCTCAGTGAGAATCAGCAAACAGTGTTCCCTATCTTTCCTAATGTCAATCTCTGAAAAAATCTATTACAGGGCCTCCCTTCGTGGTGCAGGCGATTGAATGCCACACTGTGAAGCTGCCCACAGCCTCTGTAGTGTGAGTTTGATCCCGGCCGGCAGGCGAGGGTCCCACATGGTGTGGCAGACCTCTCCAGTCTCGCCTGCTGCTCCCTTCAGCAGTGTATTTCAGTCAGTCTGCCTGTTCTGTTCCCTGCTCTGTCTCTGGTGAATCCTCTCACCCTCCCGCAAATCTGGCCTGTACCACAGTTTTTGTGTAAATAAATAAATAAAAATAAAAAACTATTACATACAAAAACCAATTAGGTACAAGAGTATTTCTTATTAAATTGATAACATTTCAAAATGATAAGAATCATTCAATGTTCAAATTTCTATGTATAATCTCTAAAGTCATGAAGATAGCGATATTTTTAAGACCCACCAATTCTATTCTGAGGAGTTTCTCTTTAGAAAATTTTATGGGGGGGAGGGGGGAAGCTAACCAAAGGATGCTTAACATCAGTATAAATCAGTAAAAAATTGGACCCAACCTTTCATCACTAATGTTAGCCAACTTATTAAAATATAAAGTAAACATTGTGCATAAAAAACATGACCATATATATTCAATTTTTTTATCACATTCTTCAACAAAGTTCTGATTTTCTTCATATAAATCTTGACATTTCCATTTAATTATTGAACATTTTAGGATTTTCTTAGAGTGAGTGGGATCTTTTTACTACTACATAGGTATTGCTAGTACATAAAAGTCTATATAAGGATAAAGTTATTGAGCTTAGGCTACAGCACATCAACCTAATACTCATTGCTTCTGCGTTTTATTGACTCCTCGGCTCAACTGGTAATCGTAACAAGTGAATTCTGCTCTTAGTTACACCTTACAACTTTATCTTGTCTAATACGTTGGTTAAACCTTCCCAAAAATTAGTTTAGGACTCTTACCAGTCTACAGATCTCTTTAACCAAATAATTTAAAACATGTATGTATCATGGGTAAAATTTTAAGTATTAACAAAAATAGGTGTCTACTATATATTTTTGTCAAGGGAAAAAAGGCATATTAGAAAAGAAATTATACATTGATTGCATGTATGTTTAAAAAATCATAAAGTGTAAAAAAATTAAAAGCAAGGTGCAGAAGAGAGCACAATTTGCCTTTTTGTGTTAGAAAGGAGGGAAATAATATATGTATTCTTGCACAAAGAATCCCTAGAAGGAAACACCAGAAACTAATAGAAGTGATTACCTGTAACTGGGGGGGGGGGGGAATAGGGACAGGGGTGGGAGCACTCCTTTCTCTGTATACCTTTTCATAGTATTGTGATTTATGGACCATGTATTGCCTATTCAAAAAAAATAAAATGAAAGTCCAGAAAACATATACTAAACTGCTAAGTATTTCTCTCTATGGACTAACATTCAATAAATTTACTCACTGAAAAATATTTATTGAGCACCTATGTTCCAGGTACTGTTCTAGCGCTTTGGAATACATCAACAAACAAAAGAAAGACTTCTGCCCAGATAGAGTTCACTGTCTTTTATATTTTTCTACTGTTTAAATATCCAATTGTGAGCACACATTACTCTAGCTCTTCCTTGCTATCTAATCTCAGGCAGGTTCCTGACCAATAAAGTGTGGATAATGTCACATACCATGCAGAGGTATTACAAGAATAAATATACAGTACTTGTAAATCATCTAGCCCAGTGCCTTACACAAAACACCATACTCTTACAGTGATCATGCATGTCATAGTGATTGGAAACTATTGTATGATAGTTAAGAAAAGTACAAGGGACAGAAAAGCAGAAGCCACAGTTCAGTCATCCAAGGTCTGCACTCTTTAGGCCCACGGCACTGTCTGACTGTACTGTCACTGTCTTATTTACCTTTTCTTTCCTCAAGTAAACTAAGTTCCCCAGGGGTGGAGAAAACATACCTTATTTATTTTATCATCCCTGGAACACAACACAGTACCAGGCAATACATGTTCATTAAATATTTGCTAAAATGAATACAGATTGATGTGGTCTTGGAAAGTTTTGTGAAAGAGATGAGAAAGGCTGGAAATGATTACCACCAAAATCACAACTTAGAGGTGAAAGAATTATCCCATTTTTTAAAATCTTTAATTATCTGGCCTTGTATTATTGCTTTGTCCAAATCTAGAAGGAGCTGTGAGAACACCTGTTTTCTGAGAATACGAGTTTCTGAAAGGGGCCTTATATAACCACCACTAGGGGGATCCACAAGGCTGAATACAGCCCTAGAGTCATGAAAAAGTGGCTGTTAACCACACAACCCCATCAACAACAGTTGTTTAGAACAGCAGTACTCTGAGATAGGGGAGGAGTGTGACGAGTCTTCAGAATTGAACCTCCTCATACCAACTTCCCTTGAGATTCTGATAAGGTTGTCTCTGAAGTCTCCCAACCCATAACTCCTACTGAGTTAAATGCTTTCACTCCAGAAACAGGGCTAAAGATCTAAAGGGTGTTTCCTTACTTTCAAAGAAAAATGACACGATACCAATGTTGGTATGGTAAAGAGGCAGGGTTTTAAAACTACCTTCCCAGACCACCACAACAGCTCCCATTACCAACCCACTATTCTCAGAAACCTACTAACCATTAATCAACAAGTACCACAAGGCACTAGTCTTTCTCTAGTATTAGTAACTTGGAAGAAAGGTAGAGAATAAAAACAGGTAGACGTAGGGCCTCCCCTGGTGGTGCAGCAGTTGAGCGCTGGGCTGCGATGCTGCCCACAGCCTCTGCAGCGCCGGTTCAATCCCCAGCCTCCAGCCCCCGGACTGGCGCAGACCTCTCCTGCCGCACCCGCTGCTCCCCTCAGCAGTGTATTTCGTCAGTCTGCCTGTTCTGTTCCCCCGCTATGGCTCTGGTGAATCCTCTCACCCTCCCGCGCTTCTGACTGTGCCCAGTGCTTGTATGGATGATTGAATAAATCTTTAAAAAAAAAAAACAAAAAACAGGTAGACGTTTACACTTACCCTAAATTTTGATTAAGATCAGGTGGTATTTTTGACCCACCTCTAGGATTCAAAAGAGATGCTAAGCCACTGAATTCCCTCCAAAACAAGTGTACACCTTTCTAAGTAATAATGGCACTTATTTCTCTGGAGATAAATTAGTTCTTACAGAAATTTTAGTTCATTAACATGTTCTAAGTAACAAAGTCAGTATTTTAGTAGATCTGTTCTGAAATATTACACTAAAAAAAAAAGAAACAAAAACACATCCCCCCCTCCCCCAACTATGTTTCATTTCCCTACTTCAAACAGTAGTTCCGCTTAAATATAGGACTGGATCAACTGTGATCAGCATATACTTTAAAGCAGCTTTGTTATATTCAAAATATAACAAGTCTGAAAAAAACTGATACATGTAGTTTTAAACTACTACTAAAATTATCTATCGTTCATAAATGTCAGTTAGGCTGAAATGAAGAAAAATGAGAATACTGATTTTAAAGAATAAGTTATATGTGATTCTAAATTACCAAACATTACAGCAATTTGTGCCCATTTTATCTGGTTCTGTTAGATTTTCTTCCCCAAAAGCTGATGATTTATCATTTTGAAAATATTCCTCCTTTATATATTCTATAGTTCTGGTATATTTCCCTAACATATTTTTTAGACTACTTTGGTTTACAATAGCAATTCAAATCCAAAGAGCTGGCAGGCTATCTAAATTCAGTTTTAAATGCTAATGAATATCCAAAAAAAGAAAAGAGAGAGACTCTACAATTCCAAAGCAGGTTTTTTCCCTGTTAATGTTACCAGTACCCATACTAACTCTAGGTCAATTAAAAAAAATGGAGAGAACAGGATAAAATAAAGTTAAAAGAAACAGATTACCTACCATTACTTTGCAGTGTTAATCCTGAGAGATCTTAAATTTTAAAAGGGAAAAGAAAATGAAACATTAATCATTACCAGGAAAAGATTTTCCATTATATTTAAAATTTTAGAATGTAAATTTAAGCCAGAGATTCAAAACTTCATAAATTATTTCATATCTGATAATATACAAAGTATTCAAGTCTATAATGCTTTCCATCTTATTTTTCAAAAGCAATGTTCTAAGCAAAATATCATCAGCAAAAACTAACGACACTTAGTTTTAGCAGTCAAAATACATGTTTGCGCCCAAGTTCAAATTTTAAAAGTTCTATTTTATTACAAATGTCTAATTCTCTAACCTTATTTGAAATCCTGGGCTATCTGCAAATTTACAACTTAGAAAAATTAAAATTGAGATATTTTTCCTTTGTGTTCCTAGGATAAAAGCAAAGACTACTTACCAATTCCAGGTGATACAACTCGCTCATAGTGATATGGATTCACACAGACACTATCACATTTTAAGTCAAACGCATACTGACAATATTTAACATGTTTTAGTTCATTTTTGTGAAGATCAGGCCACCTCCAGAGACGGGCATAGATCACATGAGGAAATCCTTTTCGACCAGCCACCTAGGAAAAATGAATGACTATTCATGAGCATCAGTTATGCATCACACATAATACAAGGCATTGTTCTGTGTCCTCATTTAATACTCACAACCCTACAAGTATTAAAATTCCCATTTCATAAATGAGGAAACTAAAGTTCAAAATAACTTACTTGGCCATGGCCACAAAGCAGTGAAACTAGGTACAAATTCAAGGCCAGTACTCAGATTGTAAAAATGCAAATACCATGCTTAAAATCTAGAAATAAAAATTTTAAATACAATGACACAGATTCCCATACTTTTCTTTAAAAATATTAAGCACTGGAGATGTCCTAATTAGTTCTACATGCAAAATGTGATCAGTGAGAATGAAAAGAAAAACTGTTAAGTATAAGCTTTAACTTTAAAATTTGAATTCTTTTAAATTGTTTTTCATATAAAAAAATTATCAAACATACAATATCTGATTCTTCAATTGTAAAAGAATCAGGTACAACTCAGCTTTTTAATGAGCACGCAATACCAAAAGAGAAATAATGTGGCAACAAGCACTAAATACTAAATAAATACTAAATGCTAGGGGCCTCCCCGGTGGCGCAGCGGTTGAGCGCTGGGTTGCGAAGCTGCCTGCAGCCTCTGCAGCCGGTTCGATCCCCAGCTGCTCCCCGGCCACCAGAGGAGGGTCCCACATGACGCGCAGACCCCTCCTGCCGCCCGCTGCCCCCCTCAGCAGTGTACTTCGGTCCTTCTGCCTGCTCTGCTCCCCGCTCTGGCTCTGGTGAATTCTCTCACCCTCCCACGCTTCTGACTGTACCCAGTGCATGTATCAAACAAACAAACAATAAATAAATAAATAAATAAGACATGCCTCTAGAAAATTAAAAAAAAAAAAAAAATACTAAATGCTAAAGCACCAAAGGTGTGAGGTTTTTTGTTTTTTTCTACATTGAACTTTTTAAAGGCAAAATATTAAAAAAATTAATATATATCTTCATAACACAGTCTTCCATATATTCACATCATGCATACTAGTACAGGATCTATCATATCTGAAGAGAGAAGGCAAACATTAAATTACACCATCATAACTTAAGAGGAAACAAGAATTGGATTTAATCTATAGTGACAGAACCAGTACAGGACTAACCTGAAGCCTTCCATCCAATGTTCTCTGTATGGTAACACATTTGCTAGGATGAGCTCCATTTGTAGTTATAGCTGTTATTAAAGAATCCAATTCATCTTTTTTCTCCTTCAGCTTCTTTACCAAACTTTCAATTGCTCTTTTTGCAAATGTTTCACTCTCTCCACCTTGTCTATGGCACATCAAACTATGTACAATGCTCAGACAGGCATCATTACTGGTTGGTGTATTCGTAATAGACATATTGTCCATTTGCTAAAGTTATTTCTTTTAAATCAAGTGTGTCTCCAATTTCCAGAGCAATTTTGATTTTTTGGAGGCAGTAGAAAACAATGGCTAATGTTGCAAGGCAAAATGTTAGACATGTGGTATTCAGGATAACCTGAGAAAGAGAGAGAGAGAGAGGGAGATATTAGAAAACATTTACTTTGAAGATGGAACTGTTCCAGTTAAGTCAAAGATCCAATGCACAGAATTCAAATTTAGCACTAAGAGTTTAAAATGACTTAATTAAAATGCTGCTGTCCTTAACATTCCAAAACTAGTAAAGTTAAGCCTTCTGATCACTATGCTCAATCAAGTATCAGTAATGGTACTGTTAAAGATTTCTTAGGAAGACACTCACTTTACAATAACAAATATGTAAGCTAATACTTAAAGACAATTACTCTAAAATAGCTAATACTTTCATGTCTATCACTAACACACATGAAAAATTCACCAGCAGGGCCTCCCTGGTGGCGCAAGGGGTTAAATCTCAGCACTGTGAAGCCAGCAGCCGCTGCAGGGAGCTAGCCCACATGGTGTAGAAGACCTCTTCTGTCTGGCACACTGCTCCCCTCAGCAGTGTATTTCAGTCAATCAGTCTGTTTAGTGACTTATTGGTTTATAGTATTTTTAAATTTCAGGAATACAGCTTTCATCCAATTACAAAACTGGAGAATTTGGTAAATTAACTTTGACATCCCATTCTCTCACTAGTCCCTTATTCTCTCACAAAGTCACTTGATGCTTTACCTCAGTCATTTATCTTAACATTAAAATTTTTGTTTTAGTTGTTTTTTAAGAGAAGATTTTCCTAAAAGACATTATGTACTTTAGTGCATTTTCTCCTTTTGAAATTTGCCCCCCCCCCCAAAAAAAAATAAGGCATGGGACAGAAACAAATCATTCACCCAAGACTCGTAACTCAAAGGCATATTCTACAGGAGTCAGGGAAAAGAAAAGAACTGAGGAGAACAAGTGCAAGCCCGGCTACAGTAAACAGTCACTACTCACTGCTGGTGAAAACTGCACTTTGAGAATGCTGGTCCACTGTTTACATGTGAAATCGCTTTTTTTAAGTACTGGCAACTTATTTGTGGGAATAGGAAAGAAGAGGGAGAAATCACTGTGTGTACCAAAATAAGACACACCTTCAATTCAAATCTAGTCTAATAGAACCACCACTTTGAAGTCTCTGAAGGCAAAGCTCACAATTTTAATTTTTAAACTAAATACTGTAAGTGAACATGGTTGTACTTATCATTAAATGTCCTATTCCTTGGGCATGTAAACACTCCTTGTTGTCAAATGAACAAGTTTTTGTATATACTTTCAGATTCATGCTGCTAGGACTTTTGTGTAAAACAACCAGTCCCATTTTATTCAGCCAGTAAAGTCCTAGTGATGTTTCAAAGTACATCTAAAATGCTCAATTCACCAAAAGTTTCCCCCACCTCACTGTTCTCCTTCGTTCATCCTGAAGGTAAATTACTTCCCTTCTATACTGTGGATTCTCTGGTATGTTACTTGACATCTCCCCCCAAAATTAAAACACACCCCATTACAAGTCAACACATTATATTATAGTTATTTGATTATGTATTTGTCACACACTCTGTAGCCACAAATCTAGAAGTTCCAGAAAATAACACTTTCTCATCTTAGAAGTTCCCATTACCATGCAGTTTTTGACATATACAAGCAATGCCTGTAAAATGACTATAGCTTTTTTTATTCTATGGGATTTCCTTGCAATTTTGAAACATGTAAATATATATTTTTGTGTCTAAACTAATTTCTTGTGTTACAAAAAAGATCTGCACCAATTTAAAATGTAATTAAGTGTTTGAATATAACTACTTCAACACAATCTCACCACCAGATATTATCAATTCTAAAATTTAAGCTTTTTTTGAGTCCATTGTTATCTCAGTTGTTTCAATTGCAAATTTTTTTGAAAACTAATGATAATGCCCTTGTTTTTTTAAAGCACCATTTTCTCATAACTTGTCAGTTTTATTCCTATGACTACAAATACCTGAAAAGGAATTTTAAAATTCCTTGTATATAAATATAGTATCAGCAGGGGTATTTAAATGTTCTCCTATGCTAAATAGTTCTAGATTACAATTTTTTTCAATTTATTTATTTATTATACAAGCACTAGGTACAGTCAGAAGAGTGGGAGGGTGAGAGAATTCACCAGAGCCAGAGTGGGCAACAGAACAGGCAGACTGACGAAGTACACTGCTGACAGGAGCAGCGGGCTCGGCAGGAGAGGTCTGTGCGCCATGTGGGAACCTTGCTGGCAGCTAGGGATCAAACCAGCGCTGCAGAGGCTGCAGGCAGCTTCGCAGCCTAGCACTCAACCACTGCGCCACCAGAGGAGGCCCTAGATTACAATTTTTTTAAAGAGTGGTATGGGAATGGTAGCAGACAAAGACATCAAACTCACGGAAAAAAAAATCATGTTCTAATTAAAGCTCCAGCAGAGTAACTGGGCAAGTTAATGTCTCTTCCAATTCTCCCATCTATAAAGTGGCAACAACATCTGCCTTGCCAACTTTACAAACTTACTGTGGTAACCAAATGCAACAGTGTACATAAAGGCAACAGAAAAGCCATAAATTGACTAATTTAACAAACACTGTATCAAATATGTACAAGTATTCCAGATAGGAAGACAAGTAGTACATAATCAGAAAGTGCTTCTCAATGCTATCAGAGCACATCCTATTTTGTAATAATTTATATTAAGTATCCTGAAGCAAAGTTCCAACCTACCTATAAACTTAAAAGTTTTAATGCCCTAATTAAAAAAGATTAACATAATACAAAAGATTAACATAAAAAATGTATATTTCAATAAGAGTGCTCAGACACATCAACAAATTTAGAAAGTACAGTAGTTAGATGCTTGCACTTATATGCAGAATCATCATAAATATGATGACCACAAATTCAGACCTTCCAAGGCAGGTGTGTTGCTTGGTAACTCAAAGAACATGATGGCAAAATGGTGAACACATGATAAAATTTCAAACATGACAACTTCAATTAGGAAACTGGATTAAGGGTCTCCCTGGTGGCCTAAGGGTTAAGTCTCAGCGCTATAACCACGATGGCCTTAGTTCCCAGCCAGGGACCTAACCCACAGATCTGCACAGCAAACCTCTCCTGTCTGGCCCACTGCTCCCCTTGGCAGTGTATTTCAGTAAATCTACCTGCTATGCTCCCAGCTCTGTCTCTGGTGAATCCTCTCACCACCACCACCACCAGCTGGCCTACACCCCAGCTCTCCTACACAAAAATAATTTTTTTTAAAAAGAAAGAAACTGAATTAAAAGAAACTAACTGCTGAAAAATTGAGTATACATAACGATAGAACTAGGTTCTGGGCTAATTACAGGTTTTCCTTCTACATAAATTTCTGGTGAATTTGAAGGTGTGTGGGATGTAAGATGGCATCAGTCCCTCATTTTGCAAGATGGCACCCTTGGGATCCCATTCAACAATGAGCTTCCCACTAATTTCACAATATCCTTTAAAAAGCAGTATTGGGCCTCCCCGATGGTGCAGCAGTGAGTGCTGGGTTGCGAAGCTGCCCGCAACCACTGCAGCTCCAGTTCGATCCCCAGGGTCCCACATGGCGCGCAGACCACTCCTGCGCCCGCTGCTCCCCTCAGCAGTGTATTTCGTCAGTCTGCCTCTTCTGCTCTCCGCTCTGTGTCTGGTGAATTCTCTCACCCTCCCGTGCTTCTGACTGTACCCAGTGCTTATATAAATAAATAAATAAATCTTTATAAATAAATAAATAATAAAAAGCAGTACTTACTCCATTGAGAATCACTGATCTAGAAAAGCCAAATATATTATTTAGTATAAGTTTTTTTTTAAATTCTGTGTCACTGGACACAGAATCCACATGATGCAGTAAGTTTAATCCACATGATGCAGTAAGTTTTAAATACCTTCAAGGATTTAAACTTACTGAAAAGCCAATAAGAATGGCTTTGTCCTCTTGCGCTTTATTTAAAAAAGAAAAAAAGTAGGTATTAATAAGTGACTTGGTTCTGCAACTGAGAAAGTATAGAAAGTCAACAGGTAAGCTAAATCTTAACACAATGTATTAGTCAGGATAGATTAGGTGACGGTGCAGGGACAACCACCCTCCTAGATATCAGTAGCTTAAAACAGCTTATTTCCTGCTTAAATTATATGTCCAATATAGACAAAATGGGAGCACTTTCACTGTTACCTCACAGAGATTATGATAACAAAGGCTCCGTAGCACATACACCCTTAAAAGAAAGGCGAAGCGACAGGACACTCATGCACTGTTCTTTAAAGGCTAACTATCACTTCTGCTCTCCTCTGATTGACCAAAGTCATATGGCCATGGCACTGTTCTGAACTAAGACAACTGTGCCCCCAGGGACATTTGTCAATATCCAGAGACATTTTTGATTGTCACATAGGAATGGAGAAGTGGAAAGAGCACCACTGGGTATCTGGTGGGTAAAGGCCAAGACTGCTGCCAAATATTCTGTAAAGCACAGGACAATCCCCCACAACAAAAATTTATTTAGCAGGGCCTCCCCTGGTTGCGCAGCAGTTGAGCGCTGGGCTGCGAGGTTGCCCGCAGCCTCTGCAGCACCGGTTCGTTCCCCCGCTGCAGGAGAGGGTCCCACCAAAAAAAAAAAAAAAGTATCTAGCAAAATGTCAATAGTTCTGAGGGTGAGGAATCCTGGGTCATGCTTAATTTCAAGCTGGGGGAAAGAGACAGAAGTGCAATAATGCCATGTGCCAGGGAAGAGTCATCAGAGTATTGGTGAATAGCACTAATGACTACCACATGTAACTAGAATTGCCAGTTGAAGAAAATCACAGGGAAAAGCAAAGGCATGAGTGCAAAGGCATAAAAGTACAGATGTTTTATCTAGAGCAGGTTCATGATAGGAAAGAAGAGAAGAAATAACACCATTAAATGTTTGTTAGAAAGAACACTACAGTGAGAGCATGAAGAAAAGCACTGGGATGGAAAGAGAAAACTAGTTAGGAGACTGATAAAGGCCTAGATTATAGAAATGGAGAGTGAACCATAAGATATTTCTAGAT